TCGGCGACAGTTGGTAGTTGAACTTCTTGAAGAATATGGGATGTTTCCTTCAGGTTAGTTTTTGTTAATAATTACTTTTATTAAAAATTGCTACTGTATTTCATCTACATTTATTCGATGTGATTTGAGGACAAGCTATTTCGGCTTTCCAAAATAAATACCGACAGTTCTTCCCCAACAAGCAAACTTTAACACTTAAAATTCGTGAAATGCGACAAAAAATGATGGCAAGTATGCAATCTCCCACAACACCGTCGGCAGGTATTTGCTGTTTTCTTGTCAAAATAACTTTGGGATGCTTCGCAAAAATTTGTCGAATATTTTATTAAGCATGTTCTGCAATCAGAAACAATGAGTATGATGAAATCAAATGAAAATATTTATTAAAACTTAGCACTTTACTATTTTTTATAGACTGCTCATTTTCTCAGAAACAAAGCAACTTGTTCGTAAACCAATCTGTTTGTACATCGTCATCTGAACATTGCTGTAAGTAATTATTTCAATAAAGAATATTTGTTAAGTCTGAAATGGGAAAGATTATTAATGTTCAGATGTATTAGATTCGGGTAAGTTAACATAAATTAAGGTAAAAATATTTTTATCATATAAACTGTTTTTATGTTAGCCAGTTCGAGTACGAATCATTGGTATCAATACAGTACATATCAGCGGACCTTAATATGATTACTATGTATAATGCAAATGGAAGTGATAGGCTAATTCAAAAGCGGCGTGAAAATTATTTGGTCAGTGCGTAAGATCATTTCGATCAGATTCAACATTCATTTCTAATGGCACTCTCGGTCAGCAGTGATTCATAGCTGCGGGGAATTGCTTGCTTATATTAAACTTTAGTTTTTATTTTCAAGTTTAACGTTTGTGTATAATACAGCTCTTGGCAAAGATTTTTGGACAAATCTTAGGTTAGATGAAATTAAGATAAATTTCATTCGAAAATTCAAAGATGATTTTTTTTTACATGTTTTACTTTTAATACTTTTTACTGTTGTATATATAGGAACAGGTTACTAGGTCAGCTATAAAAAGGTGGAAATTTGAATTGCACTGAATCAAAACTATGGTAATTTTGAAACTATATGATCATCTAGTGTAGTACATCTCTCTAGTCATGCTACTGCACATTGGATACACCATATATGAACTTCTCGAAAGAAGCTATGGTACAAGCTGTACTACATTTAATTTAACCACACTAGGGTTAGTTTCTTTTCTTTAACTATATGGCACTAGTGACTCGAAATCTGGTGATTTATTATGGACTTATCTGAAATTTTTGGATTTTCTCCTTTTGTACATCAACACAACCCAGTGCTGTAACTATTCTATATGTTGTTCCTTACAGAATCAAATGAGAAAGTTCTCTGAACATGGTACTGTTTTTTCAGATTTCTTTACGTGCCCGCTATCATTTAATGCCATACATTTGACCTTCTTCTTCGCATATCTACACCTTTCTTTTTCGAAAAATATGTATTACGCTTGTTTTTCATTTCATTATAAAGTCATACTTTTACCTACATATGTTTCATGCTAGGTAATTTTTTCAGTTTAAATGCAAATATTTGCTTGTTTTAAATGGTCGAAAAAAGATTGAAGGACCTGGTTTCTCGAATATGAAGTCAGATTTAGAACACACTAAATCGCTTTTGTTTATATTGAACAGAAACCATGTCTTTATTTGTCAGGTCCAGTAATGTTTGGGTCTTCATGTAACAACTTTTAGCGCCCTAGGTTTTTACATGGTGTATTTATCGAGATCTGAGCATGTAATACACTAACTAAACTTCAGTAATTCTTTCTGTGCCTGAACCATTAGTAGTAAACTCTCACTGTTTTAACACGGAGCTACAAATTTCTTTAGTTTTTCCTAGTTTTCTTAAGAAGACCCTCCTTTGAATTAATCCATCCTTACTAAGCTGCTATTTCATACTTTCTCATGTTTCATCCTAAAACTTGTTCTTATTTCTGTCATTCTTAGTTGACAACAACTTCGAAAGCAAGAGGAGGAGAATATCATTTTATTGGTTGTAGTGCATCTGTTTAAATATCACTTCATGCAAGCGTGCATTTTTTTAAACGTTTTAGTAGCGTTAAACTGTTTTATTCTTTTTTTAATACGATTTTATAGTGTTTTTGAAGAAGGGATTATCCTATGTGATCTAAATTAAGCTGGTTATTGCTGTAGTCACTCTTGTTTTATATGTGTTTTTATAATCTTCATGAAATGTTAGAATACTTTTGTTTTACAACTGCTAAGGCTGTACCAGATGAATGAGGACATTTACAAGAAAAAGAAGTGACTATGCTTCATTTTTCCAGTTTTGATTTGTTGATTCGTTTGCTTACTTTCCCTAATTGAGACTGATCAATGCAAATTTAAAAGTAGGAGAGGGCGAGAGGAGAGAAAAAAGCAAGCTCTCCATTATATGTATATATATCCAGTGTTTATCATGTTTCGTGTTAAATAACTAGTAAGGATTCTCATACTAAGTGGAAGGATATACGCTCCGGTAAAAATATAAAGCCTACATTTATTCAGGTTCGTCTCGTTGAAGTTTTGCAGATGTATGGTACGCGCTTCTGTGCTTCACTTTTATTATTCCATAGTGTCTGAACTGATAGTAAAGCAGTCTAAAATTATGTTCATATTGTACATTTACGATGTCATGCTTAATTTGTATTGGAGGCATCAATGGTCATCTAGTTTGTTTATTGTTTAATAGCGATATCTGAAATAAATCGAGTTTGAATTAATGCAACCAATCAAGACTAATAGTACTGGTTGTATTATTTGTAGAATGGGTAAAAAAATAATTTTTATTAAACTTACACTAGAAGGTCGCAGTAGTTTTGAATACACATTTAAAAGGACTGTTATGATATATAGACATATAATAGGATATGTGCGTGAATCGTCATCAGCATTGCGATTCATTTAATCGGGTCATTTATCTGTTTTATGTTGCTGGCTTTTTTTTCCCAAACACCACGTTCTTAATACGGTTTGTTGATATGTGGTACTCTTTTATGAACTTCGTTGTCGCTGGTTTTCAATTGTTTCGATGAAATCTTTATGCTTTTTTTTTTCTTAAATTGTTAGCTTCGTATAACGCAGTGTAAGCCGTAGTAATACGTGTATTGGTTATCCTTTATCATTATTTGTTGACACACTAGTGACTTTTCTCAGTTCACTCACATCTTGTCAACCGTATATTGTATAAATTTTCTTTCACGCAGTCACTTATCACCGTCTTCAACAGCTTATATGTTATTTTCCAAGACGCAAATAGAGACTCAGAATTGTTGCTGCATAAGTTCTAGACTGTACTAATGCTGAAAGATTCCATGTGTTTTCTGTTTCTACGCTAAAATGTATGATTTGTTAAACATTCTTTGCGTTCAAATCCTATCGAAGATGAAGAGAATTTACTACAGTGAAGAGACTTAAGCATAGGGCAATTGTTGAGCTATTCATTATGGACTATGTAGATTAATGGAGGCTGTTGCGAATTCCTCTAATACCACCAACGAGAACAGGAAGTTCTGGACACGTACTATATTGATTTATTGCAGTTTCATCGAAAAAAACGTTAGCATTTACTCATTTGTTTCCCTTCCTGATCAAAATCATCTCTTCATCAGGAAACTTAACAGCATGACTTCGGGCCTGGATGGATTTATATTATCGTGTTGTTCATATTAATGTTTAGGATGACATTAATAATATTTAAAGATGGAGTTTCAGTGTTTCCCTTTCCTCGACGTCATTCATGACGTTGTCGAGGATCCTTAGATACTGTTTGACGTCATCCCAAATTTAGGAAATAAAATTGCCCGTCTTCGAGAAATACGTCATGAACGGGATCTAAGGCACCGCCCAAATCGATAATTGAATTTCGGAACATAAAACGATCGGCACAACAACATTAAGTTGACATTTGAGAAAGAAAATGTGGAACTAGAAAATAATGGGATGTATTCCAGCACTAGATGAACAAATCTTTTCCCTGAACACGACCGTATAAACTTTTTTTTGGCATTGACGTGACTTAAAACATTCAACTTTACAATCTAGATAGCCCCTTACGCTAGATAACTCATTCAGCTTCTCAACCGTTCTTAACATCAGGCAACAAACGCCGAGCTTTTCCGTAAATAGCAATCCATATTACTTTATGTAAGACTGATACCGACGTCAATCTTATGAAAAAATCTATTCATTAGAAAAACGAGATGGACATAGGTAACACGTACAACAATACGACAAATATGTTTTATTGAGTCTACAGTGGTATCCACACGAAAACAAATTAAAAACAGCCAATACTTCTTATATCGTTAACATAAACTGATTGACGGTATTTGCAGCAGATAAACGATTGCTTATATGACGAGCTATTTGCTGTATGTATGAAGAGTATATACAATAGATATGAATTATTTTGCAGTCAATTAGGCAAGGTGCAGGAAAAATGACAGGAACAATCAAAATAAGCTTCATAACCACTGTGTTCATGCTATAAGCCTAACAACTTTGCATTGAGGAAACTTCCAACTAAGTTTAAGCTAAATATAATCAACATAGAACTTGGATATTTACAAAAAAATTTTTTTTGACTAAACAATCTGTCAGTAAACTATTTGGGAATGCTTCATGCATAACCTACACGTTAAAGTTATTTCCTTAGTTTAGCTTAAATCTTAACTAATTTGAGTTACGGTTTTGCAAGATTTTCGGAATTCACTGTTTCATACGTAAAGAGATAACTTATCGTTGAAATAATAGCTGTAACACTATTCTAATCAATAGCCCTGTGAGCTTGATGTATCTTCAGTAGCAAAGGCAATAGATCATAACGAAGCGGATATTTCCCAAGTTTTTATTTAGAAATTTATTCCGGATTATTTGTAAAATAATCTCACAATCAGGAAAATAAAAATAAACAGAATCAGAAGTTCAACCATTTGTTATGCCGTTAGAAAGAGATTTGCCTACTGGGAGACTGTGAAGGTGACAACATGGCATCCAACTCATCCGTTAAGTTTTGCAGCATACAACCAATATCGTTCAATAAACTACCATTATTGGTTGGTGTTGAGTAACTTCAATTATGCAAACAAAGTAGAAAAATACTAATACCAATAGTCATTAATTCCATAACTTTACTTTTTAATTAACAGGCTGAGACATATTATTTATTGTTTTCCGCAAAACTCAGTATTCCTCAAAAAAATTTCTGTTCGAAACTGTGTTACAAACAGTGGAAAAAATCACCGTTGCGGTTGAAAACTTTTTACTTGTTTATATTTTAGATTGACTAAACTGAACTTCTGGTGAAAATCTTTGTGAAATAAGTTTACCTGAGACGTGGTGTCTTCGGCCATGGAAAACTGGTACTTGCCGATCCTTCATTACATTTGTATCCTAACAATAAATAAGCTATCACGACTTTTTACTGGAGCACAGTTATCTTTTGCAAATAATAGTTGCTCGTTTAAAGAGAAAGAATTAATCTCATTACAGGACTGTTCAAAATTACTACCGTTTGTTGTGCCTGATTCAGCTGTTGCTGCCATTGTTGTTTCATTAAATGCCGATCTCAAAAGCTCGACGGACCCCTCACATACTAAGGGTGCTGAAACGAACCACTTTCAAAATCACTACAACTGCATCCCACAGGACCAACAACTGTTATGGATTCCTTGATCGCCTTAGGTTTTTTGGGAAATACGCGTTTTTGGGAAGCATTCTCCTACTTCGAATCTCTCATTCTTGTTTCTGTGTACTATTAATAAATTAAGTTTAAACTATATCCATTTATATTTTATTCTCCCGTATTATACTACTTAGGCGCTTTTCTGTCCATTATCACCAACCGTAGATGGATGATGTCGAAACGTTTCAGGTATGTAGAGAGAATGCACAAAGAAAACGTTTTTTATAAGTAATGTCAGAGTAAAAAGTTGTTAAAAAATAACCAGGAGGAGGTGGATAATCTTCTGAATCAGAACTGATGGAATTATCAGTGGTACTTAGGATTTTAGCCGGGAGCACAGGCTGGATGACAGAATGCTTCTGGAAACTTTCATCAGAAAGAAATCGAGAAATACGACATAGATTCATTTGCGATGAATCTGATTCTTGTTTATTCAAGCCAGCTTCCAGCAACTGTCCACCACATCCTTGCAAATGGTAGGGAACCGCCTCGTTCGTTACATTTAACTGATATTGTGGGTAAACCTAAATAAAGCAATACCCAAATTAACGAATATTGCCAATCTTCTAAATTTTTACCTATAGTGAAAGTTATTTGAATACTTGTTTTTGTGCATGCGACTGACTGGGAAAGACTCACGAAGATGCGAATATTGTTTCCTAGTAATATAATTGTCCATAAGCTATTTAAACTAGCTGAATGCAAAGTGGATGCAGCGGCAAGAGGTGGTGGTATCAAATGTTAAAGTATCTGTGGAGAGTTATCTGGGGAAAAAATGAACAAAGAGAGCACTAAAAGATGGAGAAACTGATCATGTTTTAAAAACCGTTAATAAAATAACACATAACAGAAAACTCGCCTGAAAACCTATTTTATTCTGATGCACTGCAAAAGTTCCGAGTTGTTGCAGACTATTATTGGATTGGGTTTGACGAAATTCATAGTCCTGTAAGCAGTTTGATAAATGCATCATTTACACAACTTGTAAAATATAACTGCTCTAAAAAATCTTTCCCATCAATAATCAATTTAACTGTTCTCTAAAATGAAACTGAAAATTTGATTTCTATCACAAATTGAAATTTGAAGCTCAAGAATTCCAATTCCAGTTTGATTTGATTGTCTGAGTAAAAGACAAAAATATTTAGAATAATGAAAATACCAGCAGCATGCAGTCTACGTCTAGATTTTAACTAATAGATGATAATTTTTTTCGGTTTGTCCGATGATATATTTGCCAACTAGAAAACTGTAGTTACTCTTCCACAAAATGTCGAAACATCTAAGTTCGACGAAACTACTTCATAAAAAGCGCAAAAATAACGCTGCTGATACAGCTCTGAACGTGCTCCAAAACAATCGACGTGTGCCGAGATATATGCCTAATAAATATTAAACAAAGTTAGCAATAACAGATAAACCTTCATTTTTTTAATAGCAAGACCAAGACGCTTTAAATGTCCCAGCTTCTTGATACCAATATCTTCGAAGTCTTCCCATGTAAAATTTTTAACTTCACCAATTCTGCAATATCCTTGATCCTCGAATAAAGCAACATATTCAGGAAGGCCAATTAATGGAAGCCAATCTCTAAAGCATTTTTAACACATAAAAGATATTAGTTTTGTTCGAACAATAAAACAATGGAACAATTAAAAATTTGATCAAAAATCAAAGACTAAAAATGAACTATTGAAAAGGAAATAATTTAAATCCTGTAGTAAACAATTAAAAAACTAATAGCAATAGAAATAACCTTAACTCTCCTGATGGTACCAGTGTAGGCCAAGTATCGGTTATATGCCACCTATGAATTTCAGAGATAAGAAATCTTCGATGAGTTGGATGGGTTATTCCCAGTGCTGTCAGATCTTCAGGTGTAATCCGTGCAATCGTTGAGAGATCGTAGCCTTGAGTCAAGAATGCTGTTAAATATTCTGGATATCCTAAATCACCCAGCCACAATGCCAAAATTTCTGCTTCCTGTAACATACGTTATAAGTTGAATCTAATTCGATTCCAAAAAATGGCATGAATCTTTTACGCAAAGTATAGGAAATAGCGGAAAAAGGACCAAAAAAAGAAAAAAAAAATGAAGCAAAAGAAACACCAGACTTTACCAAGACATGTCACAGAAAGTGTTAAAAAACAATCAGCGAGAAAACAGAGAATTATACAGGACATAAAAGTGTTGGGGTTGAATTAATCACAACAAATAAGTTCACTTCAGCACAAATCGAATTTTACCTCCGTCATATTTATATCACTAAAAACTTCTGTATTTATATAAATTGTAGCATACCGACATTCTTTCGATCATTATGTCAGAAAGCGATAATCTAATAATATCCTTTAAATGATCTTCATGCAAACGTTCAGATCCTGAATGGTCGAATATGTTTGCCATATTATTTATGACTAAAGAAGCATCACCACTAATACTGCTCTGTATTGAAAGACGTGATTGCGAACTGTTCAGTAATAGGCCCGATGACGATCCATATACTGCAATTAAAATCGAAACTCAAGACACCATAGTTTCATTTTGTTTGATGTTCTGAGATCAATAAACTATTAGTCCTTTGTGACTAATAGCTTATTGATCTCAAAAAAAATTTGCGACTGAAACAACTCAAAGTCAATAAAGTGTCGCTACAGATAAGAAAATCTGCAAAAGAGACAAACTTGTAGATGAAGTTCTTAAAACTGCAGAATTACTAACAATAGCATCTTGAGCACCAATTGCTGAACAAACATGCGAAGAACCACACTGAAACAAGCAAAAATTTTGATTTTGCTGTTGAGATACTTAAAATTGAAGTGTTCCTGCCTTAATCTTATTTCACTGCTTGCAATTCACTAAGATCCTATTTTGAACAATTTCTATGAAAATATTAAAATTTCCTATCTCAATCAAGAAGTAAATTTCGGAACTTCCGCTTATAAAGTTATGGTTTACTTGTGCTTTAATATTTTACCTAGCGAGTGAATTTTGTATTTTTTTTACCTAGCCAAATAATTCTGATCACTCTGAAAAATATTTTACGAAAGCTAACCCTTTATATTGAGGACTTTAACAATAACGTCCAAAAACTTAAATTCGAAAAAATCTTACACATCACAAAACCAATGCATTTTCATAACAGTAATAATGAAGAAATTATTTTCATTACTTGAATGTTGTGAAAATGATAGTAAACCGAAAAATCTAAGCACCTTCATACTTTCAAAACCAGAACTGCTATAACTTGAACTAGAATCGGCTGAATTCCGATGGCATCCATTATAAGACAAATCATTAGAATATCGTCCATTAACATAAAGGGATCGTTGTTTCAAAGAAAGTAATGAGGATGGTGATAGATTAATTAAATTCTCCTGGCACTGTTTTTCCACGTTCATAGAACAATCTGAAAGTTTTCCCGACATCCTTTTAACCAACTTTACTGAAAAAAAAAAAAAAAAAAGTGATATTAAGACACAAAATGACTGGGAAAGTAATTGTCAAAACTGATCGTGGAAATAATCAAATGGCAATCGCAGTGGTCATAGAATCAGTGCGGTCTGCAAGAAGGATAAGTTTTCAGTATTAAGTATCAGAACACAAAGACTCTAGGAATCATATTTTTGTTCAAAAACTTCCAAACCTATCTCAACTCAAAAGACTCGAGTTATACGGAAAACTTGCAAGTTCAGGGTTAGATTTTTAAAGAAACGATCAAGAAGGAATGCAATATTTAAAAAGAGTTTAGAGGTAGGCAACAGGAAAGGAATCCAAGACTTTCATTAACTATTGATTTACGAAATATCTGGATTTTTCTCGAATCAGTAGTACATTATAAAAAATAAGTAACTTGGAAAGTTAAGAATTTCATATAGTCGAAAGAAAAATGATAAAATTGGAGTTGCTGAGAACAACCATTAAATGTTCAATCAATCCCCTTAAATTTCGAAAATATGAGTACAAATGAAAATACAGCTGCTTGTTTGCAAAATATATATCTTTCATGAAGATACGCGTCAAGTAAAGGATTGCCATTTGGTTGGGAAAGTGGAACTCATCTGATTCGTTGAGCCATTCACTCTGCAACAATTCTCACCCAATGTAAAATAAAAGTCACATCTCAACCTAATATCACATACGATCTTGTTCCATTTATAGCAATTTTTTAATGATAGCTATGAGCATCTGCTTGATACATCATTTCATAACATAAACATAGCTACGCTAACTTCACACTTCACAAAAAAGGACTGTCATACGATGTTTCGTAATCATTATTTTTTTTCCACTATTCTATCCTTGGATCCTTCTAACTATTTTTTGTTACTTAGCTTTAAGGTTACATACTTATCTTTGGACAAATACGTTTGCAAATGAGTGGAAAACGACTGACAGACCAATGTCCATCAAATTTCCATTAACAAAACTTGCCGCTCCCTTGATATAGAATCATACTACGTAGTTAATTTATTACAAAAGCATCAAACACATGGCAAGCATACAAGAATCACTGTGACAGCCATTACAACAATGATGTACTACTGTGAACTCTTTCGCTAACTTCTCTTTTGCTAAATTCTCTATTCACCTCTCTTTCCTCCACAACATTTTGTTTTAGTCAAGTGCATACAAATTAGAAAACTGACCACTGTTACCTTTAAATTCAAATTGATTTCCCACTATTACTTCTATACAGCATACAACTCAACGCAGTCCTCTTAAGGCAATATTGTATTTGTTGGTAGGCCAAAGAAAAATTTTTATTATTAAGAAGCAACATGCTCCAGTAACGAAGGAATTAAACACTATTATCAGTCACTGTTATTTTGAGATTCACGTTTGAATAAGTTAGATAATTTTTCAAATAAAGAACACGATGGAGGGAAAATCAGAAAAATATCAATAAGGGAAGAAATGAAACAAAAATCAAGCCAGTATAAGATAGAGCAGCTGAACTTCACACAAACATCTGGTCGATTAAATATCAGCGAAAAAAATCAGTCCGACGAACCTTCGATATCAGTATAGAAATTCATAACACACATTTTTGCAATCAATAAAAAATTTTTTCAAAAATTTGAACCATCACAACAAAATTATATTAAAAATGTTTATTGAGAGTTAGCTCAGTTTCCAACTGATTGCACATATGCCACTGATTAAAGTTTTCGTACTTTTGCATAACTTATATTGAATAATATCACTAATTCACAACTTATATTGAATTGAAATTCTCACTTCAGATATGTAATAAAACTTACCACTCGAGCTCACATAACATTTCTAAAATCGCGTGTATACCAATAAAAAAAATGAGTGCCAATACAACTCAATTTAAAGTTCTAATTAACGTTCAAAGAAAAAACTGAGAAATCATAATTCTCCTATACTCAACTGCAGAGTCAAAATTGACGAAACAAAGTTGCTTCAAATCATCTTATGCCGCGTAATAAAGATTAAGGAACAACATGGTCTTTAGAGAAAAAGAAAGTCTCAAAACAAGACGAAAGAAGCTAAACTCTTCTAATCAACGACTTCTTAAAACTATAATAGAGATTAACCGTAATATTAATTCATTAAATTTAACACTGGAAAATGGGATCTCGTTGATGAAAAGCCTTATCTTAATAATTCCTTGCTGAACTTTGAATCACTACAACACAGCTCTGATGGCTTTATTTCCCATGTTTTCCTATCTTATATGCAAGCAGAACCTGTTCCTCAATGTCAGTAACCGAATTAGAATGAGCGATGGACAAAATTATAAAGTTGGTGGAGGGTGACCAGGACAAAACAGGTATCGGATGCATAAATTAAAGACCAAACAGTAAATGAAAATGTCAGTAGAGATGCAGTAAAATTCTGGAACTGAAAATTGATCTAAAAGAAGATGGTAAATAATGAAGATTTGTAATGACTAATGCAGAGGAGGAAGACCGTTTATTCGAACGTTCATTTGTCATCAACTTCAAGCAACTGAGTGAACGTGTAATTCTAGCTAAGAATTTTATGTTTTTGGCAGTAATACTTATGCCATTTCGGTAACTACTTTTTTGGAAAAACAATATTCTCCAGTCGTTTTGTCGTTTAACCTCTTAATCATTTGCATGCAAGAATAAACAAGATAAAAAGCACCACAAACCTTTCCTTTTGCTGAGCATCGAACGCACAGAATATGAATCGTCGCCGAAACAGAAGCTTGAAGGGAACATCAGTGTTGTCGTGCTAGTGCATGGTATATGATTTGTCAGTGATTTGGTATCTGTAACTGCTATTTTGCTCACGCAAAAAATCACAGAACTCCCAAAAAAAAAAAAAAAAAAAAAAATGCTATAATCGAATTTTGTTATCATTCAAATTTCCACTCTTTTATCTTCGAAAACAACAAAGAAAATTTTGTTTTTTCTTTTTTTAATTTCAGAGGTTACAGAAGATTACGATTCAAAAGGAGAGAAGCTTTTATTGCATCATCCAGATATATGAAAATATATTAAAAGATAATAAAAATGGAATACAATCTGTAACAAGAAAGAGAGTTAATCCAAAGGGTAGGATAACTTGAAAAAGAAGCTCAAGTATACTTGTAGGAAGTTTGAGAGCAAATTTTTCTCCATTGAAACTTGGTCTAGTCTCACTGCTAACATATCCAATTTAATATCAATGAGTAAAGAATGCCCTGACTTGCTTTTCTAAAGCTAAATATAACTAAGTCCCTCATTAATTGAAAAGTTGAGAACGCCTAAAAACTATTTATCGTTTCGGAATAACTGCGGCTACTAAGAAATAAAATAAAATAGTTTGAAGAACTGTTCATCGCTCACTCCTAACAAATGCTCGTCCATCTCCTATGTTGCAAATTCATTTCAAATCTTGTACGGAAAAAGGATGATCGATTATCAAGATGGGAATAAAATTAAAAAAAAATTCTTTTTAGAATCGCAAGTCGGACTTTATGCTGAAAAACTGACTAGTAAATTACTTTGACTAAGTAGGGAAAATCCAGGAAAAATTACTTTGAGGGAAATTTTTTTACATAGAAAAACTATGAAGATTACTTTTACTATATTTTCCGCATTCCAATAAGCCATTCCTTTGCTGCAACATAACAGAATGTTCCAGTTCGTAAAAGTCCTCTGTCACTGTCTCCTGTCTAATAACATTCTTCATTTCATACATCTCGTACTTCTGAGTAGTAATGTCGGGTACTATAGGTACTGAGACCTGAAATTATCCCTTAACAGACAGTTTACGACTTATAAGTGTGTATTAAGTATGTATGATTCACAGCCAAATAGACTAGAACAAACACTACAGATATGAAATTTGCATCTCTTAAATCTACAATTTAGAATTTATAAGGTTTTTAGGAAGACCAAAGAGTTTTTAAAAACAAACTTTTTTAACCTGTCGTGGTATTTGGTGCATTACCGTAGAGCCTGAACGTGATCCCAAAAGTGATGGCATTGCAATTACTGAAAACGAACAACTATATCGTAACCTCGAAACAGAGCTCATCTCATTATCAGTAAACAAAATATATTTCGATAAATTCATGTGCTATATAGCAAATGAGATATAAGAGGAAGAACAGGTAGAGCTAGAACGTATCAATAAATTATGAATTCTATCTAATTATTCCTGTAGAAGCAAATTCCAGTTCGTAAGAAGTATCTTTATATTCAAGCATCACTGGACCTCACAGCTGCAACATCAGCACCGCAGAAATTACCAAGTTATTTTGCAAGCACTGCTGAAAGATTATTTACTAAATTCAGTGAACTCTTCACTATCTTCCCTATTCTACTTTCCCCAACTTCTTCTATGTTCGACCAATTTAATGTTTGTTACAAAGCAAAAAAATATCAAGAATTGGTTAGGAATTTATGAAAATATCTTAGTTAAGAATTGCGATTATTGAACGTCCACCAAAAGAGCGAAAGATATGTGCTTGAAATAAGGATGGGGAAATGGGAACAAGTGTGCATAGCTTCCCGAAGACCGTAAACCGATTTGAGTATTAAACCCAAACTGGAAAAACAACTCTAACATAAAAAGGTATACAGCACATGAAAGAAATGTGGAGTAATTCTGAAAGTATTAGAAAAATGCAATGTTTCATATTTCCTGCTTGAAGCTTTTGTTAATGAATGTAAAAAATAAGCGAGCATCAATAAAGTAGATAAAAATGGAATTAATCACGATTAATTTTATCATACCAAAACTCACATGTTAGAGCTGATACAAGAAGTCTGACAACTACAACTCAATGAAGGCTTCTGTGTTCCACAGTAAATAAAAGGAAAAGTTTTACTACTGTTTTTTTTTTTTTTTTTTTTTTTTTTTTTTTTATGGCACTATGTATTCGAGAGCTGATAATGGTATCAGGATGACTGATTTGAAGAGATAATATTCATTCAGAGATATATAGTACCTTGAAAGAGATACTACAGGTGTAGCTCTTACACCATGAGCAACGCAAAGATACTATCAGCAAAATCGCAAACAACAGTAGTGTAAAGAAAAGAAAAGGAAGCAACATTTAATCTGACAAATTCGAACGCTGTTGTTACTAATGAAGATATTGTGCTGCTTAACAATTCACCGGTTTATAATTAAATCATCGTTGTTAAATCGCAAAGTAATAATTAAGGTAAATAAGTTAAATATATACCGAACTATTGTTTCAAAATCATAAATAGTTTTATCGATGGGATCACTAGAAGAAATTGCACGAAAATAAATGTCTTATAGTGAGTGAGTGAGTGCACTATATTTTATCGTTCACAAATAAAATCCAAACCCAGAAGTGGACGATGAAAAAGCACTGCTCCACTGCTGCAGAAACCATGCTACTTCGATTTACGATGAATTCCACATTGTGCCTACAGAATATGGCTTTTTTTGAAAGCTTGCATTACATGGCAGAGAATATTTCTTACAGTTGTTTAAATCATTCATGTCTTCTTCAGACGTAAACAGTAGAGCCTTTTGTAAAGGGGTACGCTAACTTCAAAAATCACTTCAATAAATCTGATACATTCTCACCATTAAATGATGCAAAACTGTAACCTGAAAAAATCTTGCATTCAGAAATAATTGTTCCTACTCAATAGTTATACAACTCTCTATCGAACCTCCTCGAATACATTCTTCCAATAAAGCATTAATAAAGATTAAAAGATGGTGTTATATCAAGAAAGCTAATTCCCAAGAATTTTAAGTTCAGACGAAAGTTTTTGTTAAGCCTAAAATGTATGACTTTACTCATCTTTTTTCTCGACATAATTCCCCACCTGAAAAACCACATATTGCTATATAAGACATAAAAAGACACAAGAAGAGAGGAGCATTAAAAGTTATTTTACAAGAAAGTTATTTAAAAAACATTCATTCTTTGGTTTTCTAATAACGTAAGCTTTCGCAGCTTGATAAACGCTCGCTCCAATAAAATACAATTCATGGAAGAAAACATACTGCGCAACTAGAGAGGAGGAAAATAGAGCAATATAACGCGTCAAAATCAAAAAAAAAAAAAAAGAATGATACTTATTCCTATTAAAGTGCAATGCTGCTTTCGCTCTTACATGCAAATCAAGTAAAACTTAGTATTTCTTGGTAAGCATCAAAACATCGTCAGCGAAAATGCTCAATATCAACTCCAAAACTGGGAGGTATGGGAGAGTACTGGAGCTAGCTTATAAAAAAATTATTATATGTATTGAAGTCTATTCTTAGTTATAAATCTGTCCATAAAGAAGTTTAGTAAATATAATTCGCCTTCAAGGCTTAGTGCCTGACAATATCTAGATACAGGGCTGCCAGAAGGTACTTTAATAACTTTTAGAATAATCGGTTAATAAGAAAAGTGAAATGCGGAAAATATGTAACATAATAAAAAAAGTAAGATATAAAAGCATACAAACTATTTAGAATAGACTACATTTTAATATGAAGTCAATTATGAAAATCACATAATCATCCTTTTACATTTCACACAAAATTCCACAACTGACCCATATAAAAGCTGCTGATGTAGAACACGAAATCAATAAAGTGCTGTGTGATCGTCAATAAACTGTATTGCTGAATTTCTTTTGCTGACGAACCGGTCAACTAAACACTGGTTAATTCCAGTTTAAGCTACGAAGACATAATTAATAACAATAATGGTAGTAACAATAATTAATCATAATAACTTCTGTGAATATTTTCCCTTCTGCAGGTCAAATTTTGCAGTGAATCTAGTTTTTAGAATGTTTCAGATCGATTTGTTAAACATTTCACACTATTTTAAAAATACTATCTAAATGTAACAGCAGCGGTGCCGTCAACGTGTAATAATGGCAAATTATTTATAAATATAAAATACAGGGGGGAAGATTCGCTGTTAACTGTATTTCAGTGGAACAATTTCATTTGCTGTATACATGCAGAGAGGTAGAGCATGCGGTTTCTTTACATTTGAAATGTAGAGGAACATCAAATATAGATTGCTAAGGGTTGAGAGGCAGCAGGGAAAAAGACAAATGCATCCGGCACTAACAACTCTCGGCCTATTTTAAGTGCCCTACCTAAACATATATATATATACGTATATCGATTTCACAAGCGATTTAACCCGAGGGATATGACCTGCCACTTGCCATCAGTGATAGTTGCTTCCTTTTTCAGTCTTCGTATTATCATGTGTCTTATTATTTGTCGTCAATAATCAGCACCATTACTACGCACTTTATCATTTGGAGTTGTCGAGTAAAGCTTCCTCCTAACCAAAACAGCAGGTTTGGGTTTTAAACTGAGCATTAAGCTGGAGATTTATACTTCAGGATATCACGAACTTATGGATTCAGAAAGAGAGAGCAGTTTCCACCTTACTTTAAATGACTTAATCCTAACAGTAACTTTTAGGATGACGTTTACAAAAGAATATGGACGAAAACTAAATACGTTTAAAATCTTTACGAAGCAAATGCAACGACGACGAACTATTGTGGAAAGACAGCGCAGCACGGTCTAAACACATACGGTGGACACGACAGTCGCCGCAGCCTCACGGTCAGAAACTGATGACCGAGTAGGACAACAGACCGATCACTCAGCGGTGAAACACGAACACACAAACGTACACAAACAGAAACACAGACATACAGTAGATACATGCAAACACTTCCTACATATGCGTCATATGTGACGACATTAAATGAGTTTGCCGTTTGCCAAAAAGATGTGAGCACTGATGTTGTTTATTGTGCAGTACCGACGTGCAGATTCGTTTTCTGGAAGACCGCATTATAAAACTTTTTTCTTAGGGGTGCTGAAGGGGGAGTTACTTGTCTTTAAACATTAAAATTTCTACTTTGTTAGGAATCCCGTGAAAAAACCCTCCCATTACTGTTTCATAACCCTCATAAATCTGGAATAAATAATTCTTTCTGGTTTTAATTCTTCCAAAATTTCCATGTTTCCACAATTCAAGTTCATTTTTTCACTTTTATGATGTCAAGCAATCATAAAAAATGATAAACTGTGTGTATCCTTGAATAATAGGCTTGAAAGAAATAAATGTGAAAGTGAAAAAAGACAGCATACTTTCTAGTTTTGACCACTGGACACTTGCTCACTATCCGGTAATAGATTGACTAAGCGCTAGAAATATGAAAGGCTTGATATACATTCTATAACGGATAAAAAAAAAAAATCATCAGTGCGAACTCATTTCTTTTCTGACATAGAGATCTGAATTTAAGATTTTGAATTTGCCTGAGCGAATCTGTGGTCAACAAACAATTTCCTGCAAGACCGTTAATGTAGAATCGATGAGAATTTAACTAAACTGAAAAAAAAACTAAGGTAGAGGAATCTAGAGGATTTCTAGGTACTCTCATGATGTCAGCAAAATTCTTAGTTCCCATCGATTCTAGATAATAATGAAGATTTCGCTACAGTGCGTGGAAGGTCAACATATGCTTATTATATGTATCATAGTGGCATATAACTCTCTGCGGAGAGTTTTATTTTAGAGAACAGTTAAATTGATTATTGATGGGAAAGATTTTTTAGAGCAGTTATATTTTACAAGTTGTGTAAATGATGCATTTATCAAACTGCTTACAGGACTATGAATTTCGTCAAACCCAATCCAATAATAGTCTGCAACAACTCGGAACTTTTGCAGTGCATCAGAATAAAATAGGTTTTCAGGCGAGTTTTCTGTTATGTGTTATTTTATTAACGGTTTTTAAAACATGATCAGTTTCTCCATCTTTTAGTGCTCTCTTTGTTCATTTTTTCCCCAGATAACTCTCCACAGATACTTTAACATTTGATACCACCACCTCTTGCCGCTGCATCCACTTTGCATTCAGCTAGTTTAAATAGCTTATGGACAATTATATTACTAGGAAACAATATTCGCATCTTCGTGAGTCTTTCCCAGTCAGTCGCATGCACAAAAACAAGTATTCAAATAACTTTCACTATAGGTAAAAATTTAGAAGATTGGCAATATTCGTTAATTTGGGTATTGCTTTATTTAGGTTTACCCACAATATCAGTTAAATGTAACGAACGAGGCGGTTCCCTACCATTTGCAAGGATGTGGTGGACAGTTGCTGGAAGCTGGCTTGAATAAACAAGAATCAGATTCATCGCAAATGAATCTATGTCGTATTTCTCGATTTCTTTCTGATGAAAGTTTCCAGAAGCATTCTGTCATCCAGCCTGTGCTCCCGGCTAAAATCCTAAGTACCACTGATAATTCCATCAGTTCTGATTCAGAAGATTATCCACCTCCTCCTGGTTATTTTTTAACAACTTTTTACTCTGACATTACTTATAAAAAACGTTTTCTTTGTGCATTCTCTCTACATACCTGAAACGTTTCGACATCATCCATCTACGGTTGGTGATAATGGACAGAAAAGCGCCTAAGTAGTATAATATGGGAGAATATTTCACTGCTTCATACGCTTTTATTTAACATCCTACAACAGTTACCTACGACAGCTTCATCACGCAGTAACTGTGTGTGAAACATCAAAACAAGATTAAAATGAATATTTTCAAAAATGACACTCAAATACGGATATATGATGCAAGCACAAAGGCTGTACATCCTGCAATAATTTACAATCATACCGCATTATTCTTTTTCTGCTTAGTGCAAAGTGAAATGTTTCTATAAGCTACTAGCAAAAATCAGATTTACAACGGAAAATTTAGTGAAGAAGAGGAAACTTTCTCGAAATGAATTCCCTCAGGAAGTAGAAAGGATGACAATTTATTTTCTATGATCTCTTACAGTTCAACATAAAAAAATTGAAAAGAAATCCTTAGTTTTCGGGTTTTATCAATGCGTAAATGAAGAAATTTAGTTTTGGTGTGTAGTCATACTGCATTACTAGCAAGTTTAAAAAATATTCCGCAAATCTATGTTAGTATTTCAATAGCAGCAAAATTTCCCCAGCGTTTCTATTTCAATATTAAAAGGAAAAATTGATGAAGAATCTAGATAGGTCATGTTTTAAAATAAACTGAAAATTTTTGAATCGAATAGTAAATCATCTGATGAAAGTGTCATAAGAATGTCACATGAACAAAGTATGGTAACGACCTGAAATCAATTTATTTTTTCTGCATTGCTTTACCACCAACATAGGTAAAATTAAACAACCATGATATATTTGCTGTACATTACAAAGAATTGCGTGTAAATGATTTATTTACGCTTTACTTATTACACTATGCTAAAGTAAAGTGGCTTACATGATTAAAGCCAACTAAAGTTTTCTGTTAAAATCTCAACTACCTTATCTAATGTTAACTTTTGTAATATATCTACAACTGTACTTGAAAAACTTTTAATATTCACTGTCAATTCTCAGCACAGATTAATTCAAATTCCATTTAAATCTGATAAAAAATTAAATTTAGTAACCAAATTTATAAAAAACAAACTAACGTGTCATGTAACGGGAAACAAATATTTACAAAAATATATCGTTGTTGTTTTGGTGTCATTATATTTTTTCATCATATGGTTTCAAATTCGTATTGCATGGCAAACTGAATGAGCAGATTATTATAAATAACTCGATTTCTAAATTTTTTAGATCTATAAGGAAAGTAATCCAGTCATACGCGGTTGGATAAAAAACTGATAAATACTATTACTTTTTATTCATATCATAAATACTGAGACGATGAAAGCAAGATCCCTCGTCACCGCTAATAGACATGGAAATTGAAAAGACTAATATTTTTGCCACATAAATATTTGACAGTTTTTCATCATATGGGTCCTACTTCAGTCACCGAACAAACTTCATTGCGACATCAACTTGCAGTGAGAATCAGAAGAATGTAGTAAAAAACAGCAAAATCAAGTTAAGCATAATTTCATTTCTTTCATTCATTCGTTATCAACACTCTTTCCTGACATATAGAAAAAGAGCAGCAAATTAAATTACGGCTAATAATGGCATAAAATTACATTGAATTCTAAAGGCAGCAAATGGTAGAAAGGAAAAAAGTTCCTCTTGTAAGTGAATTTTGTACCTATCATACTTTGACTTGGGAAATGATTGGATCAGAATGGGAAATGAATCGAAAAAGGAATAAATTTGAATCATGGTCTCAGTGCAAACCACTGAAGCATATTTATTTCCGCCGATAATGATTGCATTTCTCATCAAAAGTTGTTCAGGATCAACACAAGAAGAGAAGCATGTATCACACAATGGAAGTAGTGTGTTTACAAATATCAAATAATCTTGGCGGTTAAAAAAAGGCAATGATAAAAATTTCCCTATGCATATCTAGATGCAGAATTAAGGACGAAAATATCGTAGAAGATAACAAAATAAATCGCACAACACACTTCTCAACCCTCACATTCCTTTTGCTCTGAACCTTAACCTTACTAATTACAATCCTCAGCTACTACTACTTCTTTCCCGTGATTTCCGATGTTAGTTTGCAATAATTTCCCGATAATACTTGTAACAGAAGTTCACGGATTTTTGATCCAAAATCATAGGGAAGCGATTGCCACTTAATGAACAGTGCCTCAAGATTTATCTTTTACAGATTCTAAACACAGCTAAAAACATGATAAGAAAATTATATCCCACTGCAATAATAACATATTGATTCACCTTTCCCCACCAGACACATTCATAGTATATTGGATCATGTTTTACCATACCAACGCTGCATCAACAGAATCTGAAGCGAACATTTATTTAACTTCTTCAACCACTACTTCAGTAATGTCAACGACACTACCAGTTCTCTTTCTAATCACTGAAAAAATACAACACTATCGTCGCTAAGCGCCACACGATAACAAATCCTGCGAGTTCGCCACGAATATGACGAATCTTATTCATACCCCTGTAGAAAGAGGGCTCATTTCGCCGACATTTTAAGATCTTTTCCATTACTGTACTGGTCACTCTTTCTAGTAAAACATATGTGAATTCATATTCTGATAAAAAAAGATTGAAAACCAAAGCAAGAAAGAAAGGAAGACTGGTACATCGATAACCAGCAATTTTTTGCTGCTTGGATTTCAACCTTGTATTTCCATTTTTATCTCCCTCAGTACGAGAGCAGTATTTAGAAAAAAATTCATTTTGGAATGAAATAAATGAAAATTATTGCCTATAAAGTCATAAATTGTTTGTAGACATGAAAAAAAAATCAGTTGGCTTATAACTTCGAACTGTTTTAAATTACAGCACAAATTTTAAATACGAATTAAGGCAAAACAACTGATTGATACAGTTATTGATTCTTCCATCATGAAAATGTCAAAACACGTACTATATACATAAACGTCAAAATTCATAGACCTCTTTCAAATTAGCATAAATCCATAAATTAATGAAGAAAATGATGAAAGTCATAAAAAAGTAGAGGAGCATTTCATAAATGTTGGAATGATGGAATAAAGAAAAAATCAGCAGAGATCTGTCCAAAAATCTTCAAACGTCCGCATTTATTTACGGATATTATTATGATTTATATGCAAACAACAAAGCAGAAATGCATATTCAGTTCTATAAAAAGATTAGAGTGACCAACTATTTCAACCAATTTATACTTTTTCCTTACATCTATTCTTTGGTTAAACAGAGAACTTATCATTTACTCAACGCTGAAAAGATATACAAGAAACTAAGATGCGATATCTTTCTCTTAACTTTGCTTCGGATTATGTATATATATATATATATATATAACATATTTCACAGGACAAAACGCTATTTTAAAATGGGAATACAAAAGAATTAATTAAATCCGTCATCGAGACTATCTACAATATACTACACCTAAGGAATCCAAACAGTCTCAAAATGCATAGCGAGATTCTTATTTGAAAAAGCGAATCATCTTTAAAGTGTTTTACATTTTTAAATGTCTTAAGTATAAATTTAATTTATATTTTTTACATTCAATTCTTTTTCCTTATATCAATTTAAAGCTGCGATAATTTTCATCACAATTAAAAAAAAATGCTTTGCAACACGAGCTAATTCATAATCAGAAATCTCGAAAAATGACTTTGAGTTATATGAGCACTGCTGCCACTGCGATAAAATGAGCTTTCCTTAAATGTATGACTCATCTTTATAATTCATCATGAAAATTTGAAAGTCATACAACTTATCTCCATAAACAAGAAAGTTGGTAAATTCTTCGTTGAAAAAAATTCAGAAGAAATGGAAAATAAAGTGACGAAAAAGATTTGAAAGATTTTACATAAAACTTTTCTGACACATGCCCACTTTTGTGTTAATTGACAGATGCAAGCAACATACATTGATTAACGACGGAAGCTTAAGATGAACGTAGAATAATTTGTAAACAATGCTGAAATGAAATATTGCAAGGAAAAATTATCACATTCGATTTTTAATTACTTTCTATGCATTCTCCAAATTCTAAACATTATTTCTGAAAAAGATATCTAGAGTTTTTCTTGACTACACATTTCTACTCTGCCGGGAAAAAACTAATATTGGCAGTTAAGCTCTCAATTAATGAGATTTCGAACCATCTGGTCCGTATTGTTGTCCACGTTTACAAACATATCTTTTGTGCAAAATATAAAAAAAAAAAAAAAGAAAAATGTTAAATTTTAAACAAAATGCTTAAAATGTTTAACAAAATAATTGGGAAAATCATCTCAAAGATTTGAAATGCCAAAATCGAGCTGAAATGTGAACTGAGCGACCGTAATCCCTTACATTACTGACTGGATCAAACAACGCTAATTAACGATGCCAAATAGCTCGCAAAAAAAGACGTTTCGTTCAGTACACTTTCTGTTTTACTTGGGCTACACGATGGTCTATGCCATTTCGTCAATTACTTGCCACTATGAGAGTTTTGGGAATATGCTCCATATATTTATAAAAATTAAATACTATTGATCGCATATAGCAACAAAAATATATGAAGGAAGAACAGTCAAGATCGCAAGAGCTAACACCGTCCCTTTTTGAGAGGATCTTGGCCTCTTGGCCGTTTCCTACAACAAACGGTCATCAATAATTAGGATTGCTATCGTAGCCCTTGTTTGCTTAACAATTTCGTGTCATGAATAAATTATTTCGCATTTGTGCAAAATATAAAAAAAAATGTTAAATTTTAAACAAAATGCTTAAAATGTTTAATAAAATAATTGGGGAAATCATCTCAATAATATCGGAGGTTTGTTAACAACTTTGAACTCTTCTGCCTTCCTCTTAGCTCTATCATCTTTTGTACACTTGATGAGTTTTTTTGCATGCAATTCTTCAAAATTTCCCAAGATATCGGATCTTACTTTATTTTTTTGCAAATGCCTGTTTGCTTGAGTCATCTATGC